GTCTTTTCTGTTATCTGAAAAGGGTCAAACCTCAACAGAATCAGGAAATTAGATGCTAGTTATTTCAATGTTGGTAATACCAAAGTTTGTAAAATTCTGCTGATTTGAGAAAATTATAGTTAGTTTTTTCTCAGGTCATTATATATGTTATTATTTTGGCCAAAAGATATGTACATATAAACATATATATTTGTATAATCCTACCTATGTTTTTCCCTGATTTGGACATGTAGCATATATGTAACTGTCTTTTTAGGCAATGCTCTGCAATACAGTATCTTGGCTATAAATTCTACAACCTTTCAAATCAAATTAGATATATACATACTCATTTGCAATATCATTATTTCTACACAAACAACTTGTCACTTTAGGTTGAATGAGATACAAACTTTTACAAATATTTGTTTATGCTCTTCAAATATGATGATCTATAACAAAATACATACCTAGGGCAATTCTGAGTGAGATGAAAGTTGTTGATAGCCAAGAATAATAGCTTGCATGCTTCCATGTCTGATTTGAAACGGGCTTCTTTTTGAGAAAGCCTTATGTACTTGATATAATAAAACCTCCAATGACTAGATTGTTTCTCAGTGTGGAGGTCATTGTCTTATTTAGACTGTCAAGAGAGGGAGCAGAATTTTTCAGTTAAAAATGCTGCTTCCAGGCTGGCCAGTTAGCTCAGTTGGTTAGAATGAGGTGTTGATAACACCAAGGTCAAGGGTTCGGATCTCTGCACTGGCCAGCCGCCAAAAAAGAAAAAAAGTGCTGCTTCCAGAGCCAGATGGCCTTGGTTCAAATCCTGTTTCCTACAAGATTAACCTCTCTCACCTCAGTTTTCTCAAAACAGGAATAACAACAGTAATACTTGCATCCCGGGGTTGTTAGAATTAAATGAGTTTAACATATGTAAAGGGCTTAATACAGTGCCTGGCATGTGGTAAGCATACACAATAAGCTGCCTTGATCATCCGGGGCTTTGTTCAACTGTTCTTGCTCCCACTAGGAAGGTCAGGTCTTGGCTGTGTACTCAGGGCTTAGAGCAGTGACTGTACAGAGCAAGTATTCTCCACACAGGATTTCACTGAACCCTCTAAACCACTCAGCAAGGCAGACAACGTTACCATCATTTTACAGAGGAGAAACCTCGGGATTAATAAGAAAACCTGCCCAAAGCTACACTGCCCCTAAGTGGTGGCGCTACTACTTGGACCATAGTCTGAACCCTCTAAACCACTCAGCAAGGCAGACAACGTTACCATCATTTTACAGAGGAGAAACCTCAGGATTAGTAAGAAAACCTGCCCAAAGCTACACTGCCCCTAAGTGGTGGCGCTACTACTTGGACCATAGTCTATCTGTCAGACTTCATGGCCTGGGTCTTCTCACCAAGCCACAAGAAGAATGAGACCTGCCAATAACATCCGATGGATTCAGTCCCTTTCCTAAGGACAAGATAAAAAGAAAAAAAAAAAAAAATTACATTCTAGGGTATAGTAAAAATTAATCCAATAGTTTACAGAACCTTGCCAACAAAACTGGAACAGGAAAAAAATAAAAATAAAATAAATAATTAAGCCCAAAGCCAACATCTTGGCCATCACCTGAAAAATGATCAGTGCCTCCATCCTTGCCACTATCATGTGAGTCCACAATGGATGTCACTGGCCTGAGTTCTCACTTGACTGCCTTGTGCATAACTTTGGGCAGCAGGCTTAGGACACGTGTTAGCTGAAGCAGCAGGACTATCTCCAGAGAGCTGGAGTTTTAACAGGGCTATCAGGGCCCTGAGGCTCTGCCTCTACAGCCCCAGAATTAAAAGAATCAAAGAGAAGGAATCAAACACAAAGGTTAAAAAAAACCACACCACACCTTCCATCATTCTCTTTATACCAAACCACACCTGAAGGAAAAATTAAATGTTATGAGTTGGCAGCAACAACTCAGCTATTCCTTAGCAGGTGATTATCAGTTAGGTACCTAACTGGTTTGAAACACCCCAAAGAGCAACAGAAGGGATTTTCAAACCATACCAATGCAGATGAACTTAAGTCTAGAAGACTCTGCCTATACACCACATACAATCACTGATCTGCACTGGGGCATAATCATGATTGATACTTACTGTTTACATTTAACAATTCCCCAACCCCCTTCCAAACTATGATTTGAAATGAATGGAACCAACCAAAATCTTGTGGCTTTTTAAACCCAAGCATTACTCTGCAGGCCACTAAGCAAACAATCCACTCCAAAGTCTCCATTAGTGACCAAAGGCAGAATTTTTCTGCATCAAAAATGTATCAGAAAGCATTTCTTCAAAAATTTATTCCATAAATTTAAATCTACGGAATATTTCAAACATAAAGTGGAGACAACAGTATAATGAACCCAATACCTAGCCTAGCTTTAACAATTTTCAACATATGGCCAATCTTATTTCATCTATACTCACTGTACATCACCTACTGAAGTGCAGAAGGCGACCTCCTCCTCCTCCTACTGAATTATTTTGAAGGCACATTTTTAAGAAGGCCAATATTTTACTTATCTGCCAACATAAAGCAAATATTAACTGAATTACAGGTAAAGAATATGAAGTAAACTAGGGTGCTGGTAGTAAACAAAAGCTTCTTAAAAAATATCAACTACTATCTACCAATTCCATCAAAACTTTCTCTTTAGGTTTGAGACTCTTCTACCAACAAAGTAGGCATCTTATCACAACTAAGCAGTTTCATACTCAGCTTCTAGGATGGCCCTAATGATCAAGAGACACTTGGTGCTCCAGCAGCTCGGCTTTTTAGAGTACAGAGTAAAATACTTCAGAATAATAGCATTTTGACAGAACAGACTAAACAGCTTTTTTTTGGTGGGGGGCAGCTGGCTGGTATGGGGATCCAAACCCTTGACCTTGATGTTACAAGGCTGACCATCTTTCTGACCAGCTAAAAACAAATACTCTAATGACATACTCTACCTTTTCTAAAACTGCATGTGAATTTGTTCTCACCCTTCCCCCAAACCTCATAAAATACCACCAATGGTATTTTGACCATAGTAAAAGTCATAGTGAAATTGGTTCACCTGAAACAAGTGGAATCGGGTGTAAAAACCCCTGCTTTTTTTTTTTTTTTTAAAAGATGACCGGTAAGGGGATCTTAACCCTTGACTTGGTGTTGTCAGCACCACACTCACCTAGTGAGCTAACCGGCCATCCCTATATGGGATCCGAACCCGTGGCCTTGGTGTTATCAGCATCACACTCTCCCGAGTGAGCCATGGGCCAGCCCCAAAACCCCTGCTTTTTAAAACTGTATATCACTGAGACTGTTCCACGCCTTCAGCTGGTTACTCCTGCAAAGCTGAGGTCAAGGGCCACTTTTAAAAGTCAGCAGTAGTGATCCCCTTTTCATAGTTTTCATCCACCTTAGGACAATCAGTGAGAATGAACTAGTTAAAACTGGATTTCCACCAAATGGAGATAATACTCATACTCCACAAAAAGCTGGGGGAAATAACAAGAACCACTGTCTTTAACTTTTTCTCTTAAGACTTTCTGACCTTGCAAGTATTTATTTAAGTGGACCCTTAGTGTTGAAAGTCACCACCCTGTCCCCAGTTATGCTGCTGAATCCTCATCGCCCCTTTCCTTGTAAGACATGCTCCCCCTTTACCTGACATACAACACTTCATTAGGGTCCACAACAAAGGCCATTCGGTGACTCCTCCTCCCTCTCTGGGGGAAAACCGAGCAGTACGCTGTTGTTCTGCGGCTTACAATGCCACTTAGAAATTGCAGCCAGCAATGAACGCGACATCACCCTGAGCCTGAGAGGCCGGGTGTCATCTGTTTTATCTTTCACAACACCTAACACAGGGCCCTACATACGTTGTACGCACTAAAAAAAGAAAGAAATTGCTGACTGTTACCAACAATCTTACCTACAATCTTTTAGTAATTTTATTTAAATTTGCCTTTTTTTATAAGCATAACCTGATCTTTAGCTCCTTGGGCTGCTGACTGTGGAGTGTCTCAGAACCTGAAGGCGACTGAATTACAAGTACCTATTATCAACAATGTCAACTCTATTCAGCCCAAATCAAGGGATGGTTTAATCATTATTCACACAGCAAAGGGGATAATTCATTCTAAAAATTAGGTAAACTATCACCTAAATTCACTTCTCGGTCCAATTTATACTGGTAGCTGCTGTCTTTGCTAAAACACATCAGTAACTGGTCAGTCCTGGACCTGATCTCAAATGCCACTTTCCTTTGACAGGTCATACAATCGCACTTGAGAATTCTTTTTTCCTTTTTGAATGATGGGGCACTTTAAGACCTACCCACTGGAGAGTTATTTGGCTGGGTGGCAATTTATGACATTGGGGATTAATACAAACCCTTTCTCAGAAACTGCTAATGTTGGGTTGGCAGTTAGCTCACTTGGTTAGAGTGAGGTGCTGATAACACCAAGGGCAAGGGTTCAGATCCCCGTACTGGCCAGCTGCCAAAAAGAAAAAACATTGCTGATGTTTATAAACAAGGTACCAAGACCAGTATGTGAGGACACCCTCATTGACATGGCTGGTTGGGCAAAAGGGCCTTCCTCCTTTGCTGTGTGTCCCTTCCAAGGCTACCAAGTTCATTGAAAACAACAAGCTGCTGTCTTCCCAGAGCAGCTCCCATTTTCAGAGGACAGAGCCCAGGCTTTCGGGTTACAGCCTAGGCTCAAATCCCAACTCTGACTTGCCATGTCCCAGCTGTGCAAACTCAAGCAAGTTGTCACATCTCTGTAAACTTGGGCTACTGTTTCCAGTGTTTTTTTGTGAGCATTCAATGAGTAAGACATGAAAAGCTCCTGGCAGTTCTTTGGCACATAAATACTACTTATCAAGTGTCTGCTATTACTAATACTACCACTACTCCTAATAATAAAAGTAGGGGGCTGGCTGGTGACTCACATTGGAGTATGTGGTGCTCATAACACCAAGGTCAAGAATTTGGATCCCCATAACGGCCAGTTGCCAAAAAAAAGTAGCGTTGGCTATAAAAATAACATAGCTCTGAGTTCTTACAATTTCTAGAGCAATAAATGCCCTTATAATACAGTTCTATTAAGAACTACTTTGAAGTCTAAAAGATCATATTATTAACATTGGACTATTACTCTAATGACCTTGATGTTTATCCTCTTTGGAGAGCAATGGCTTCTGATAAAATACTCAGCATTTCTTCTTATTCTGAGACGCCAGAAAACAAAGAATACTGAGCTGTCTGAGAATTGTACAGAGTTCTATCCCAGTAGGGTCTTCATTTAAGTTACAGACATACACTAAAAAGAGATTAAACTTGCTAAATATGCTTTAATTAGAGAAGTTGACACAATGAATACTAATGAAACTAATTTGTCAAGTAGTTAGATTTCAAAAAATAACCTGATTAAAATATCTAGGAAAGCCTAGATTCACCTTTTGAAGACAAGCCTCAAAACACCTTATTATTGGAGGGCATGGTCTCATAAAGACCAGGCAGGTGGGAAAGAGGAAAAAAAAGAGGTCTCTGCATTTTCTTCTGTTATCATTTAGTGTCTACATGTCTGTTCAAATCAGGCCTTCCACAGAAAGGAACAGGCTGTTGTTTCCTTTATGACACAGAGTTGAAATTCAATTTAATAATTATATTAGGGTACTGAAATGGCACCCGAGCTATAATTCAGGCCTACTTATGGAACTATTCCAGGAAATAGATGAAAAACCCACAAACATTCTGGTAACTATTCCAAATAATCACTTCTATATTTTTGAAACCTCGTCATAGACACACACACATCCAAACTATTTGGTATGTGAAAATTTTCCCCACAAAATACAGATCTACCTGTACGACTGCTTTTAAGATTATAGATTAAAAAACGAAAACAAAAAACTCACACAGAACTATACATTTTCACATCAACTTGAAGAAAAAACATGAACACAGGAGTCAAAACTTTCCTTTTTAGCCTCCCTCCCTTTTCTATGTGACCTATAACAAGGTGCCAGATCCTTCAGGGCCTCAGTTCTTTCATTTGTAAAATGAAAACATTTGTTCCCTGCCTCTCTCATGGAGGGGCTGCAAGACTCCCTTGAGATGTGAATCACTGAAAAACTCTCTCAGAAGTGTTAGCATACGGCTGGCCCCTGGCTCACTCAGGAGAGTGCGGTGCTGATAACACCAAGGCCATGGGTTTGGATCCTATATAGGGATGGCCGGTTTGCTCACTGGCTGAGCGCGGTGCTGACAACACCAAGCTGGTTAGAGTATGTACTGATAACACCAAGGTCCAGGGTTCAATCCCCATACTGGCCAGCAGCCAAAAAAAAAGGAAGTGTTAGCATATTATCATTAATAAAGTCAAGTGAACACAGCAGTAAAATACTTTTCTCAGAACTTTGTTTAAAGTTTACATGTAGGGCCGAGCCCGTGGCGCACTCAGGAGAGTGCAGTGCTGGGAGCGCAGTGGCGCTCCCACCGTGGGTTCGGATCCTATATAGGGATGGCTGGGGTGCTCACTGGCTGAGCGCGGTGCGGCCGGTCTCACAAAAAGACAAAAAAATAAATGAATAAATAAATAAAGTTTACACGTAGAATTTTATTTTCAAATCTGCGATAAGATTTTCAAGAAACAATATCACCATAGCATATTTATGACAAAATGTTTTTTTTCCCCCCCCTCTTTTGTCTTTTTTTTAACTGACCGGTAACGGGATCGCAACCCTCGGTGTTGCGCCCGCACCGTGCTCAGCCAGTGAGCGGGAACCGGTCTCTATATGGGATCTGAACCCTCAGCGGGAGCACCGCCACGCTCCCAAGCAGCGCACTCTCCAGTGCGCTACTGGGCCGGCCCTATGACAAAATGTTCCAAAAAAAATCCCTGAAAACTAAAACTGTATGAAAGAGAAGCAGTAATTGACCTTGACCAGGAACTGAATTAACCTGTGCATCAATTAACCTGAGAGTTAAGACAACCTCTTTGGTTGTCTTTAAAAACTGGGTGATTTGGGAAGGGTTAGGAGCCAGACCTTCAGTGCTAGAAATATAAAGGAAGTGTATTGCTACATCACCATCTAGACCACTCAAATAGAGTTATGGAAAATAAATGTGTCTTTGCATATTTAAATTATTTTAAAAGAGAGCAAGTAGAACCTCCTCAACATTAGAACCTCCTCATGAAAGTAGAAGCATACAAATGAACAATGTACACCGACATCCTAAAATCCTAGCACAGACTTAAAACCAAAAACAGCAACACAATTCTGTTCTGAATATGTCCAAGGTAATACTCACTGAAAGCAGAAAGTTTGTATTGCCAGCAGAACAGCTACAATAGCGGAGGGGAGCTATTTTGGCTCTGCAACAAATTTTCTTCCTTTTGGTTCCATTCCTTCTTCCTGTACCTATGATGGAACAAACCCCAGCAGCCACCGGAGGCAGTGAGGTAATGGAGGAAGAATGTAGGGAGTCCTCTAGTGGACCACACGCTCTCTAGCGAGCCATGGGAACCATAGAGATCAGCGAGCCCCCAGAGCACCGCCCCACTACTGTCACGTGGCCGCAGTTCGCGCACTTTATTTGCTGGCGCTGCCTCGACGTGGTTGAATTTAGGACTCTGCTTTCCTTTCGTGGGATCGAGTCTCAGGCAATTGGAATAAAGAGGGACACACGCGGAAGGCCGAGAGAAGGCCCGCGTCCGTTGCTGCGCGCAGAGAGAGCCAAGCCCAGCCGGTCGCCTGACTGTCAGGGCCGGCGCACTGCACGCCGGACCGCCCGGCCTGTGCGAGCGGGCGCGCAGCACGCCGGGAGTTGTAGTCCGGGCCAGCAGCTCGGTATTGTCCAGGCCGCCGGCTGTGTGCACCCTTCTCGCTGCCGGGCCCTCTCCCCGTGTTAGCGACCCCATACTGAGCTACCAACGGCTATTCTCTCCAAGCGCCCACGCTCACGTCGCCTCGCCTGACCGGGCTTCAGTCTTCGAAAGCATCCTGGAAGAGGCGGTTCAGAGCAGCCTTAAATCAAGCCGACGACAGCCAGAGACAGGGCCAGGTCCCGGGGATTGCGCCCGGCTCGGCGCCAGCCAACTCTCACCTGTCTAGCCAGTCTCCTGATGCACAGGAGGACAGACTCACCCAGCTTTTAGATGATGGTCGGGGCGGCGCCAGCTCGCATCAAGAGTCCATTTCTACAATTTGCTCCCTCCACCTCAGCTAGAGATGACTTCAGTGGAACACCTACTGTACTGGATTATTCACTAGGCCAACTAAGCACATTCTTCAGCACTAGCAGAGCAAGGGCCTCAAAAAGAGCAGCATTTAAAAACCATTTCTTAAAAAATTAGGAGTAAATACGACCAGCCGCCAAAAAATGAAAACGCGGAGTAAATAATTTTTATTTCAAATACTTATTTTTTGACAAGATTTGACCTTAGGACAGCATTTTTATTTTTAATTACAGATGGGATTGCACCAAAAGTCTTAATTCTGCCCGTCTCTCACTCTAAGGGCCACAAACAAACTGTAGGCCCCGCAGCAAAGGCAAGCCCTGATTTAAAGTCGTGCCTATCTTGTTAAGAAAACGGACTCAAGACCACATATGATAGACCGTTTTGTGTTTTGCTTTTCTGTTGATGCACAAAGGAATCCTTAACATGTTTGTCCTTAAGGACCAAAGGAAAGTATCTAGTAAAAAATGCAAATCATATCTAACAGTGAAGCTTTCCAGCAAAAACCTTCTGCTCTAGAATGTATAATGTACACAAGCATAATAAAATCTACTACTGCAGACTTTAGCATAATTACCTATAGACAATAAAACCCGAGGCAACTGTCTCTTTCACTCAGAGAACAGGACAAAGGATGACAGAGGAAAGAAGAGATAGTTATGCTCTTGGAACAGGAAGTGACTTAAAAAAAGGATGATTTCTATAGCAATCTTCATAATTCTTGACACACTTGATTCGCTTATCTGGTGTTGAGGCCACATTTGCCAGTCTCCAACCTTCTCTGTCTGCCTGAAAAACTACAAATTAGATGATCATATGGCCAAGAGCCAAAAGCGCAGGAGGCAGAAAGCCAGAGGGCAATTTTTTTGTTGTTTCTGAATAAGAAGGCCAAATCCTGACTTAATTCCAACCTTCTCTGTCTGCCTGAAAAACTACAAATTAGATGATCATATGGCCAAGAGCCAAAAGTGCAGGAAGCAGAAAGCCAGAGGGCAATTTTTTTGTTGTTTCTGAATAAGAAGGCCAAATCCTGACTTAATCAAAATAAATTTTGCGTAGTGAAGGTCTTTCCAGCTGAAAGTCTTAAAACATGGCATCTGGAAAAAGGCCTTATTCTATTGCTCCCAGGGTGGTACTATATAGTCATTAAACAGCCCACAGATAGGGGAGTTATTGCTCCCTGGTTATCAAGCTGCCAGGAAGTAAATGATGGAACTAAATTCGACTTAGAAACACTTCCAAATTAAAATAAAAACAAACCTTGCTTTGAGCTGTTGAAAAGGCATTTTGTTAAGAAGTAGGATCCAGATGCTGCTGTCGTTTCTAACTTGCTGAAATGAAAAGGGTTGGAACTTAGAAAAAAGTCACTTCAAGGTCACCTCATGTCAGCAAGCAACAGTCTGAACTGATGCAAAGATAAACTGAAGTTATGAACAGGAGGAAGAAGCTGAGGGCTGTATATGCCATAAATATGGGAAAGGCTGTGTTTTATTTATTTCCTTATTTCCTGAACATAATACAGAAACCTGGTACATAGCAGGCATACAATTATTATTTGTAGACTGAATAAGTGAAGAAGGAAGCCAACAAGCAGGAGGTAAATAATATAGTTGGGAAAGGGGAACTGCAGAAAATCTGGGTGGCTCAAGCACTCTTCATGATCCTGAAATGTCACCCCAATCTGCTGTGATATAGCTGTACCATTCACTATCAGAGTACCTCAAAACAAATCCTCTGCCTCCCTGATGCACGGCTTTCCATCATTTATTATCTTGAATGGTTAAGAATATATGGTAATGATTAAGATAGTCCACTCTGGAATCAGTCTGCATGGGTTTGAATTCCAGCCCTGACACCGAATACCTGCTACAAGCTTATATGTCAGTAACTTGTGTTTATCCTCTGCAAAATGGGAATTGTAGTGGTACCTACCTCAGAGGATTGTTATGAGATTTAAATAAATCTCTACATATAAAGCTATTATAGGATTAGCATCTCAAAAATGCTCAATAACTATGAGATTTGTGAGTATTAGGGTGTTGAGATTAGCATGAAGTTAGCCTGTACATCAGCTGTATACATTCTTTTGGATTTGAACCTTGTATGAGCAGTGTGTTGATGAGCTAAAAGCATTTGCCAACGAGTAGTAAGTTTTCCCAGGAGATATAAATGGGTGATGTGGATTTTATCTGTCCTGCTTTCTAGGTTGATTTAAGTCTGGCCTTGGTCTGCATGTGTGCTCTGCCCTCCACAAAAGACAGGCCTGGAGAGACTGTAATCTCCTCCAGAGACAGTGCCTGTCTCCTGTGTGTCCTCCACTGCCTTGTCCACTTCACTTGGGCACTTCACAGGGATGATCAATAATTATTTGATTAAAATAAATCTTTGTCTGTATATATAGATATGTACATGGGCTGAATATTTCAGAAATATGAAGTAGTTTAAGTAAACTGATAAGACCCACAGTGTTTTGTTTGTGGTAGAGTTAAGCCATATTACTCTAAGAAGGTGCGTTTTTACACTTTATGTGTCACTTGGGTACACAGTTTAACATCAAGAAGTTTCTGGAATGGCTGGTTGGCTCACTTGGGAGAGCGTGGTGCTGGTAACACCAAGGTCCAGGATTCCCATCCTCTTACAACCACTTGCCCCCCACCCCCCCAAAATTTTCTAAACTTCTACTAGTATTACCAATGAAATAAACGAAACAAAGTTGGAGGGCTCAAGTCACACATTCATTTATTCTATAAATACTCCCTTAATGACTACCAAGCATTTTGTATTGCCTTTTTATTAGATATAACATGCACATGGTAGAATTCACAGATCTTAAGTGTACAGCTTGACCAATTCTTATATTAGTATCCATCTATGTAACCACCATCCAATTTAAGATGTAGAATATTTCCAACAACTCAGAAGGCTCCTTGTGCCTCCTCCCAGTTACTAAACCCCCCTCAAAAGATAACCATTATTCTGACTTCTATCCCTGTGAAATAGTTTTGCCTGTTCTTGAGTGTCATGGACATTCACATGGTCTCATACAGTATGAACTCTTTTGTGTCTGGTTTCTTTTGTTCAACCTTATGTCCAAGAAATTTTCCCTTTGGTTATACATAACTATAGTTCATTCTTTTTTTTTTTTTTTTGTGACCAGTAAGGGGATCACAACCCGTGGCCTGGTGTCGCCCACACTGTGCTCAGCCAGTGAGAGTACCGGCCATCCCTAGATAGGCTCCCAGCGCCGCACTCAGCCAAGTGAGCCACGGGGCCGGCCCGTTCATTTTTTTTGCTGCATAGAACACTATGCCATTCCATACACATTGAATGATTACTATTCAATACGTATTGAATGAATATGCCACAATTTGTTCATCCAGCATTATTTTATTTTATTTTTTATTTTTTTGTCTTTTTTCGTGACCGGTAAGGGGATCGCAACCCTTGGCTTGGTGTCGTCCGCACCGCGCTCAGCCAGTGAGTGCACTGGCCAGTCCTATATAGGATCCGAACCCGTGGCGGGAGCACCACTGCACTCCAAGCGCTGCACTCTCCCGAGTGCACCACGGGGCCGGCCCCATCCAGCATTATTTTATTTTATTTTATTTTTTCCTTTTTGTCTTTTTTCGTGTCCGGCAATGGATCGCAACCCTCAGTGTCGCGCCCGTACCGGACCGGGACCAGCAACGGGATCGCAGCCCTCAGTGTTGCACCCGCACCTTGCTCAGCCAGTGAGCGGGAACCGGTCTGTATGTGGGATCCGAACCCTCGGCGGGAGTGCTGCCGCGCTCTCAAGCGGCGCACTGTAGCAGTGCGCCACCGGGCCGGCCCTCCAGCATTATTTTAAAACAATCTTGTTCCCTACTCTGAGTCTACAGATTTATGATTTTTTACAATACCCCATACTGGCCAGCCACCAAAAAAAAAAAAAAGAAAAAGATTTTTTTACATGATTTCATGTTTTTGTGCAACTTCAGTGAGGGGACTGGGATGAAAGGTAGGACAGATAGGATTCCTTCATGCACAATAAATGTAGCTCAAATAGTCATGGTTAAAGATGCCTGTTGTATCCCTCGGGGTCCAGTCAGGAAGGAGGTATTTCAGGGACAGAATGCACCTTCACTTGCTTAGCCTCAGGGCTATGTCACCTATCTTCTCTTCGTCATACTCTTCCCTACAGAGAAAT